TTGTAGTAGTACTTCAAAGAATATCATGGTACTCCTACTACTATTTTTATTTCTACTACAATTCATTGCTTCTCAAAGTAGACTATCCTTATCTCTAGAATAACTCTGCTGTTTTTCAACAAACAGTAATTCTTGTTGCATACTTTATTGTCAATATTCAGTTCCAAACCACAACAACAGCAARAAATGAACAGAATCTCAAAAGGAACTCTTGGAGCTCCTGGAAATTCTCATTATTTTTATTCCAGACTTCCCCTCCCGTCTTGTCCACAACATCCTGATCAGTGAGCATTGTGACTCTTAAAGCTGGATCCATTAGAACAATGCACCAGTCAGTGTGGTGCTTCTTTGACCAAAAAATTCTTATAGTWGGAGGAGTGCTACTTCTGCTACTACTACMTCATTTCCTTGTATATGCTTGTATCCTGGCTTGTCACTACTCTTTTTTCTGAACTTCTCCTCTCTTGTTGGTACTATCATCTCCTCCTCTAGTTCTTTTCTGTATTTGATCCTTGCTTATTGAGGAGTTTGACAACTTCCCTACAACACAATAAACTTACTAACAAGCTCTATTCTTCTTCAATTGGGTYGCCTCTGTGCCGTCAACCTCAGGATATTAATAGTACCTTTTTTTCTTTTGTCAAATGGCTGATGGAATCACTTGTCAACTGATGTTGCTGGATCTCCCAAACATGAGGATACTCACTGTGGACGAATAGAGTATAGTCAAACCAAAGTGCCTCCTACTAAGGACCAGTAGTAGCTAGTAAGAAGATCTCTTGTGATTCTGCTTTTGTTGCTCCTTCAAGACACCTCTTGCAGGATTGATTGTTGCTGCCAGGATTCTTGTTGCAATATATATATATACAATCCCTTTTTCTTTGAATCTATGGCATAGAAAAAGTACAAGTGGGGATATAATATACTACTACTACTACTACTACTACTACTACTACTACTACTACTACTACTACTACTACTACTACTACTACTACTACTACTACTACTACCACCACTATTATTGTCCTTGTGAGATTCTGGGTCTGAAAAGAACATAGAATGAGCACAAGGAAACTAAGATGAGGCAGTCACCCCTCCTTCTTTGTTATTATTGTCAGCTTTACACAAGAAAAGGAAAAGGAGCATGAAGAAATAGTAGTACTAGCAGGAGTATGATTTTAGCACAGAAAAATGTTTAAGATGAAAAATCAAGGAGCAAGCACAATGTAGATTTTCAGGGGTTGTGACAGCCTGTACTTGTATAGTATGGTCAGAGCAGTCACTACTCTCTTTTACCAAACAGACTTTCTTTATATTGCTACTACTACCAATGATATGGACAGCAAGTGTTTGATCAATGATGGGGAATTTATTCAAAACCCTAATGCCGACTGGATTTCTTCACTTGTGTGGTAACCCTGTCTTGTACCTCACATGCCTCTGTTTGGTTGTATAAATAGTAGTA